ATAAAATTTTTTATTAATAAATATACAATATATTTTGTTAATTCTATCAATGGGATATGGGATATGGGATATGGGATATGGGATGGGATATGAGATTGGGTTGGGGTTGGATGGGATTGGATGGGATTTGGATTGGATGGGATGGGATGGGATGGGATTTTAAGAATTTGAGTATGGGTGGCAAGTATATTTCCCACCTTCATAACATTGAGCTTTATTTAAACCTGCTGGACTAGACTTTTTTACTACTGAAACCACATGGTCCAGACAATCTACTCTTGTTCTTCTATAGAGTTTTTTGATCGTCCCAAAATTACCATCACATTTGAATTTAGTATGTCCAGGAATCATGAAATTCAATTCAATACTTTCATAGTAACCACAAATTACCAAATATAAATAAAATCAAATAGTAGTTAACATGCAATATTCACTAATTGTTCATTAGAGTTTTGGCAGTCACCAAGAGGTTTTAGCAAGCAACCTTAATGTGATTAAGGGGATTCATTTTATAAGGTATCCATTAAGGAATTCAGAAAACCAAAATATCTAGAATAATAAAAAATTTTTTAATAAGTATTTGGAAACAAAACTCTTCTAAACTTCCTCCTTAACTCTCTTGCTTTTAACCACATCGCCTGATTTGTCCTCATAAGTCCCTTATCCTCCCTCAACTCCTCACAATTTATCCTCTTTCTAATTAAATGTTCCATTACAATCTCCTCCTCTCTAATTCCCCAGGGTGATCTAAACCCCATCCACCTCACCTCTAAGTCAATAATACCATCATTTTCGTCATCACCACCTTCATCCTCCTCACCCTCCTCACTCTCACTCTCACCCTCCTCACTTTCATCCTCATCACTACCATTACCACCATCCTCATTACCACCATCACTATCTTCTACCATTACCACCTCTAGCACCTCCTCCTCCTCCTCCTCCTCATCATCTCCTCTACTATCCTCTACTGCCTCCACCTCACCCTCTTCATCCTCTCAACTATCCTCTTCAGTATCCTCTTCAGTATCCTCTTCATCCTCCTCCTCTCCAATCAAAATTTCTTTTATTAAATCTATCGTTTCCAGTGGGCATCGATTAATCAAATTAAAAATAAGAGCAGCTTTCTCGGAAGGTGGCACCTCATCAAACTTCTGGATCTACACATCATCAGCAAATTCATCATCACTAAATTCATCATTGGTTATAATAAAAAAAAATTCAAGTTTATAACTAGAATGACAACATATTTCAATATTGCACCACCACCACCACCACCATTCTTAAAATGCTTACCTTTCTCTTTCATCACGATTGTCTGCTTTTCTTCTTCTATTTTGGTTTTTTTGTTGCGACATTTGTATTTATGAAAAAAAAAAGAAGTTCGTTGTTGATTGACACGTCACACTAATTACAGTGACTTCCATAATTATTGCACCACTTGACTTAAAATTTTCAAATTGTAAAATTTTACAATGTAGAAATCATA